ATAAAAAACAGAAATCTAAATTTGAGGCTGAGTTTGTAGATTCTGATGACAATGATGATGGATATTCAAGGAAAGATGATCAAACTTCACCTGAGTCTAAAACTGGTTTAAAATCCAAGAAAGACAAATCCGAAGAGAAATACGAGGATGAGAAATTGAAACAGGAATTAAGGTTACACGAAGAAATGAAAGATGATAAAGACAAGAAAAAATCGAAAAAGAAATCAAAAGAGGAAGTTATCCTAGACTACCCTGAAAGTTCCTTTGACATGTTTTCTGATGATCACCAAGCTAAGGGTAAGAAACTTGGCAAGATGCTGGATTCTGATGTTCATCAAGAAAAATATCAATCTAAGAAACACTCCAAACTGGATGTACCAGAAAAATTGGAAGAGGGTCACGATAAGAGCAAAGATGAAAGACAGAAAATGTCAGAGACTGTATCTCCATCAGAAAAGAATAAATCAGAGAAGACTTCATCCGAGAAAGACAGAGATTCTAAAAATTCTTCATTAGTTGATTATGATGATGAAGACCTGGATGAGGAAGATTACCAAGATCATAAAAAATCTTCCAAATCCAAAAAGAAGCATAAGAAACACAAATCGAGAAAAAGCTACTCTGATGAAGAAGATGTGTTAGAAAATAAACACCATCATAAACAGAAAGACTATGAAGATTCAGAGGATGGTCAGAGGTCAGAATCTAAAAAGAAACACAAGAAACATAAAAAACATGATCATGAGAAAGAAGATGAAGAAGATTCCAGTAAGAAACGTTGGCACAATGAAGGTGAGGACATAACAGATGAAGATCAAGAAGTGACGTTTAAAAATAAAAGTGACCGTCATAAATTCCATGATGATGATGATGATGATGATGATGATGATGATGAACATTATACCAAACGCTCATCAAAGGACAAGTTCAGCACAAAGGATAAAACCAGTCCAAAAGATAAACTCAGTCCAAAGGATAAAACCAGTCCAAAGGACAAGTACAGCCCAAAAGATAAACTCAGCCCAAAAGATAAACTCAGCCCAAAAGATAAACTCAGTCCAAAGGACAGCAGTTCCAGAAAGAAAGACAAATACATCAATTTTGATGAGGATTACACTCCAGACAAAGTGTCTCAGAAGACGGAGAAGGAAAAATCTTTAAAAGAGTCGAAAGATGACAAACATTCTGTAAAAGACAACTTTCACGTTGATGCAGAAGACAGGAAAGAAAAATTGATACCAGAGAAACAGAAATTTAAAGTTGGAAATAACAGTGAGGACAAGATTGATGTTCAACCTCTTCATTCTTCCAGAAGAAACAGTGATGAAAATTCTAGGAAGAATTTCCCCTATGGTTCCAAACATGAAGAACGTGAAGCTGGGGTCAGAAGAAGTAGTGGTGAATTATCCAAGAAAGATATGGAAGTGTCGTCTGAGAAGCATAAAGTGGCTGAAAGTCGAAGAGAACGTGAAGACTTATACAAGAAGGATTCTGAGGATTTGGAAAGTCAGGACAGAAAACACAAGGGGACTCCATCAGATAAAGTTAGTGATAGACGAAGTAGTGGTGAATATTCCAAGAAAGATATGGAAATGTCGTCTGAAAGTCGTGGAATTCGTGAGGACCGTTACAGAAGAGAGGCTCATGACAGAAAACATAGAGCTGTTGATGAACGAGATGAGTACGATAGAAGAGGTGTTGAGAGGAGAAGAAACAGCGATGAATTTTCAAGAAGAGATTTTCCTCTCTTGAAACGATCAGACATGGATATAAAAGATGGAGACTATGAATCAAACCGATCTGGTCGACGACATGGTTTAGATGATTATGACCTACCAGATAATGATATTCCCCCTCCCCCACCTAAGAGAAGAATGTATCCAGAAGATCAATACGACAGAGACCAAACATTTTATGACAATGAGGCTTACGACAGATCTTCACGACCAAGACGAGGATCCTTTGAAAGTCGACGAAGTAGAACTGACGAGAGGCATTACGAGGAATATGAGCCTCAGACAAGCCGAAGTAAATATGAACCGTATGATCCAGAGTACGAAGAATTTGATCAAGTTGTCTATCATGATTCTGTAGATGATCATAGAAGGGGAAGAGATGCATCTAGTCATGATTACCCCCCACAGGACAGACCAAGAAGATCAGACCCAGGGGATTATCCACGAAGGGAACGCTACCCAGAAGACTATGAAAGAGAAAGACCTAAAGAGAGAGCTTTCTCCCCCAGACCGCGTAGAGAATACGAACACTCAAGACATGAGACTGTTTCTTCAAGAGGATACCAAGGACCACCTGTCAGAGATGATCACTATAGAGACGATGATTCATGGCGTAAAGAAGAATCCAGTCGATTCCATGGTGAACGTGGACGACATAGTGATGAACATCAGAGATTCAAAGGAGAAAGCCGATACGATGAGACTCGTAAACCGAAAGACATGACAGATGAAAAGTCACGGTATACAGACTCCCAATTCAGAAGAGATGTTGAATATTTTAGACATTCTGATAGAAAACCTAAACAGGAAGTCGTTAGTCATGTGACTGATTTTGATATCGGAAAGATAAACCCAGAAGATATCCCACTACCCAGCGATCCTCATAAATCGGCAGCTGAAGCAGAAATAGATTACTATACAGGGAAAAAAACCAAACCATTGGCACAAGACACCAAACCAGATGTTGAAAAATCATTTGAAACCAAGGAGAAAAAGAAAGGCATCAGTATTGTGGACACTTTACTTTCAATCCAGAAAGTAGGAACCAAAACAGAACACAAGATAGACATTCTGGAGCGAGAAGCAGCTCAAGCCAAGAAACGAAGAAGGTTCACCGACACTCCTCAAGTTTTTGAACCCAGAAACTCCCAAGTTGGTTCAGCGTCCATGTCTAAACCTGGGGGAGTATCGACAAGTTTAAACACTTCTTTAACTAAGCTGCAGCCGTATGATGGAACATCAGAATCAGACCGAGAGTCCAACTTTCCCCAGTCTGGTCAGTTTGTCCATAGAAAGGATTTCAAGGATGCAGGTGCTTCTACTCCAGCTACGACCGTAACTGACTACGAGAGCTGTTATGATGAGGTGACGTCATCAGATACCGACGTCAAACGACACTACCAACATCATCCAACTACTCTCCCTGTACACATTCCTCTACCTAAAGATATTTATGGATCAGAAATCGTTTCCAGTCCGAACAAAACTGATGGAGACACACCTTTAGAAGATGAGGTAATGAATGTATTTGACATGTCTGATATTCCGCTTCCTGGATCAGATAATGTTCCTCCCCCACCACCACCACCAGCAAAACCAGTCCAGGACAAACCTCTCAATAAAGCTGCATCCCTGCGAAGATCAAGTCGTCTGTCAGCTAGAAATTCTGTGGACAGCGAAGACAATTCTGATCAACCTGAATCTGTCCAATCACCTATTATTGACGACAGCCGTTCCAAAATTACCATGAAACTAAGCAGCAAGTGGGAGAAAGTAAAAGTAGACAAGGTTGATGTTTTTGGTGCTGATACAGAAGAAACAAAATCTAAACTTGAAAAACATGTTTTTGATGACGCCCCCTCTCAGGACACCACGAAAGATTCACCACCGAAGAGAAGAAGCAGTAGGAGAAGTGCTCAGGCTGCCAACGAAGCTCTGGTTAATTTGAATAATAATGCATCAAGACGCGGACGAACCAAGAAGAATGCTGGGGTTGATAATCTGTCGAAGGATGCTACGGCAAGTGAAGCTTCACCAGTCATGTCTAATGAAGATCTGGTGACGAAAGCACCTACAGTACCTCTAGAGTCTACTGTGTCATCTATTCCTGTACTAGGTGGAAGTCAACCTCCGTCACAGCCTGTTTCTGAAGCCATTTCAGAGCATAACAAAGTCTTTGATGCCTTCGCAGTTGGTGTTCCTGAAAAACCGTCATTTGAGATGGGGAGTATCACAGATAAGGTGGAGCAGGAAATCACAGAGGAGATCTTGAAAGAAGAAAATGAAAGAAGAAGATCCAAATCTGATTCATACGATCGAGATGATGACAGACATGATCGCAGAGACAGAGACCGTAGAGATGATAGACGAGATAGTCGTAGAGGTCGTTACTATGACGATGATAGAGACAGATATTCAAGAAGACGTGATGACAGATCATATGATCGTGATAGGGATTATGATGATCGACGATATCGAGATAGAGGTCGTCGTGATAGAGATGATTATTATCGAGACAGGAGATATGACGACCGAGAAGATCGCGACTATGATAGAAGATCTCGAAGACGATACGATCGAGAAAGCAGCTATGACAGTAGGTCAAGGTCACCAGAGTATCACAGACGACCAGTCAAGGTAGAGTCAAAACCAGAACCTGAAAAGATACCAACATTTGACCCCCCTAAGAAGGTCATACCACAAGACATCTTTGGTGCGGCCCCATCCCCAATGGTACCAGCAGTAGCAGAAATACCTCCTGCCCAATTCCCAGAACCACAAGTTATCAACACAAATATCACAGTTGTTCCTACCCAGGCTGCAGATTCATCAACTAGTCCAGCTAAACCACTGAAAGTCAAATCAAGATGGTTGAGATTCAGTGAGGCAGAAGCCAGTCAAGATAACGTACCTTCAGCTGATGATCCTTCCCTGATGGCCACGCCAGCCCAACCTGGAAGATTCACCTCCAACCTGGTTTCAATCGTTCCAGTGGATACTCTGCCCACCAGTTCAGCCCCAATAGAGATAGAGGAACCCCGTAAAGGGCCGATACCCTCGACTTATAGACCCCCACCCCCTGACAAACCAGTTGACCCCCAGATCCCTGCATACATTGATCAGCTGGTATCAGACACGGCTACAATGTCAGCACAACATACCAACATCTTCGATATCTTAAACCAAGTTAAAGTTCCAGAATTAAAAGCTGTAGTTTCTAGCACTGCTGAATCTGTTCAAGTCTCCAATGTTGTAGCAGATGAGATGATAACTGAACCTCTGGAACCTACCAAGATTCCCTATTTTGAACCCATTGAAGAGAACCTATATCTGACTGAAAGGTAAGTTATGTTTATTATTTTGACCTTTCATGAGAATTTGAAATTTAAATATCTTAAAGGTTCTTTCTAAGTAATGAATTAGACTGCCTGTATTTATGTTTAGAAATTTTTTTAAAAGGCCAATCAAAGGCCTTCGACCATAAGGCATGATATTTACAGCCTTTCTGTTGAGGGATCTGATTTGCTATATTTGCTGGCGTACAATTCATTCAAATCTCTGCATTCCATGATACGAGAAAGGTGGCTATTGTAGTCAAGGTATAAGTATAATTAATGTATTATTGTTGTATTATTGTTGTATTCAGGAGACAGTCTAAAGAAATGAGAAGAATGGCGTGTGATTGTACAACTAGTAAAGAAGATAGAGAAATGGGAGTAGAAGCTTGTGGTAGTGACTGTCTCAACAGGATGCTCTATATTGAATGGTGAGTTTAGAATATTTCATATTGACTCAGATTTCATCTTGACTCAGATATTATCTTGACTCAGATATCATCTTGACTCAGATATCATCTTGACTCAGATTTCATCTTAACTCAGATATCATCTTGACTCAGATATCATATTGACTCAGATATCTTATTGACTCAGATATCATATTGACTCTGATTTCATAATGACTCAGATATCATATTGACTCAGATATCATATTGACTCTGATATCATAATGACTCAGATATCATATTGACTCTGATATCATAATGACTCAGATATCATATTGACTCAGATATCATATTGACTCAGATATCATCTTGACTCAAATTTCATCTTGACTCCGATTTCATATTGACTCAGATATCATCTTGACTCAGATTTCATGTTGACTCAGATATCATGTTGACTCAGATATCATCTTGACTCAGATTTCATATTGACTCAGATATCATCTTGACTCAGATATCATATTGACTCAGATATCATCTTGACTCAGATATCATATTGACTCAGATTTGATATCTTTTGATTTTATGAATATTCCCTTCTATTCTAGACCCTAATATTTTAGTGTTTTACCTTGTATTATCATAACTATCTGTTCTTGATTTGACCGTCTTCATTAGCCCAATTATGTACAGAAAAGAAGGACGTAAAACCCCATTCATTTCATTTTTTTTCTTCTTAGTTTGCCAGGTTAACGTGATTTTGTGAAATATCAACAGCGTAATTGGTAATTCTATTAAAAGTTTAATATGTTCTAATTTATATTTCAGTGGTTCAAGATGTGCTTGTCTTGATTATTGTACTAACAAAAGATTTCAAAAGGTAAGAGTTGATTTTATACACCCACATCGTACTATTGTTACAGAAAATATTTTCATTATGCAGAGATAAATTCAGGAAATGGAAATGGGTTGCAGATTGATTTCTTTTCCGAATAAAAGCTTGGAACGCTTCACAGCCTACACTTCTCAAAAGTTGCGGAAATGATTTCAATGGTCACTTACCTCTCTGTAATCATGTTCTTTAAGTAAATAATTGGCTAATATCAGTGTCATGTCAAAGTTTCACTACAGGTATCTTAAGTTTCATTAATGTTTTATAACTACAAACTTCATATATCATAGCTACTCAACACTAATAACAAAATAATAATAGTTATAGTTGTAAAATATCACAATACCTGTGGTTTCTGTTACAGAGAGAGTACAGTAATGTTATATCTATTTCTGTTACAGAGAAAGTACAGTAATGTTATATTTATTTCTGTTACAGAGAAAGTACAGTAATGTTATATCTATTTCTGTTACAGAGAGAGTACAGTAGTGTTATATCTATTTCTGTTACAGAGAGAGTACAGTAATGTTATATCTATTTCTGTTACAGAGAGAGTACAGTAGTGTTATATCTATTTCTGTTACAGAGAGAGTACAGTAATGTTATATCTATTTCTGTTACAGAGAGAGTACAGTAGTGTTATATCTATTTCTGTTACAGAGAGAGTACAGTAATGTTATATCTATTTCTGTTACAGAGAGAGTACAGTAATGTTATATCTATTTCTGTTACAGAGAGAGTACAGTTATGTTATATCTATTTCTGTTACAGAGAGAGTACAGTAGTGTTATATCTATTTCTGTTACAGAGAGAGTACAGTAATGTTATATCTATTTCTGTTACAGAGAGAGTACAGTAATGTTATATCTATTTCTGTTACAGAGAGAGTACAGTAATGTTATATCTATTTCTGTTACAGAGAGAGTACAGTTATGTTATATCTATTTCTGTTATAGAGAGAGTACAGTAATGTTATATTTATTTCTGTTACAGAGAGAGTACAGTAATGTTATATCTATTTCTGTTACAGAGAGAGTACAGTAATGTTATATCTATTTCTGTTACAGAGAGAGTACAGTAATGTTATATCTATTTCTGTTACTGAGAGAGTACAGTAATGTTATATCTATTTCTGTTACAGAGAGAGTACAGTAATGTTATATCTATTTCTGTTACAGAGAGAGTACAGTAATGTTATATCTATTTCTGTTACAGAGAGGGTACAGTAATTTTATATCTATTTCTGTTACTGAGAGAGTACAGTAATGTTATATCTATTTCTGTTACATAGAGAGTACAGTAGTGTTATATCTATTTTTGTTACAGAAAGAGTACAGTAATGTTATATCTATTTCTGTTACAGAGAGCGTACAGTAATGTAGAAGTGTTCCAGACGCCATGGAAAGGTTTTGGTTTGAGAGCTGTAGAAGAACTTAAAACGTAAGTCAAGCTCAAACAATAATTTTGTATGAATTTTACTCTGAAAACAGCTGGTGTACTAAAAAAATTCGGAGTACCGCCTAGTCTTTCATCCTTCGAATATCTTGACAATGATTTTACATGGATAAAAACCAGGATTCATAAGGTAAAACATCCTTTACAATGATAACAACTTAGGTTCGTAAGGATCCTGTCTACCAGCTGGTCTGGTAAAACATCCTTTACAAGGATAACAACTTAGGTTCGTAAGGATCCTGTCTACCAGCTGGTCTGGTAAAACATCCTTTACAAGGATAACAACTTAGATTCGTTAGGATCCTGTCTACCAGCTGGTCTGGTAAAACATCCTTTACAAGGATAACAACTTAGGTTCGTAAGGATCCTGTCTACCAGCTGGTCTGGTAAAACATCCTTTACAAGGATAACAACTTAGGTTCGTAAGGATCCTCTCTACCAGCTGGTCTGGTAAAACATCCTTTACAAGGATAACAACTTAGGTTCGTAAGGACCCTGTCTACCAGCTGATCTGGTAAAACATCCTTTACAAGGATAACAACTTAGGTTCGTAAGGATCCTGTCTACCAGCTGGTCTGGTAAAACATCCTTTACAAGGATAACAACTTAGGTTCGTAAGGAAACTGTTTAACAGCTGGTCTGGTAAAACATCCTTTACAAGGATAACAACTTAGGTTCGTAAGGGTCCTGTCTACCAGCTGGTCTGGTAAAACATCCTTTACAATGATAACAACTTAGGTTCGTAAGGATCCTGTCTACCAGCTGGTCTGGTAAAACATCCTTTACAATGATAACAACTTAGGTTCGTAAGGGTCCTGTCTACCAGCTGGTCTGGTAAAACATCCTTTACAAGGATAACAACTTAGGTTCGTAAGGATCCTGTCTACCAGCTGGTCTGGTAAAACATCCTTTACAAGGATAACAACTTAGGTTCGTAAGGATCCTGTCTACCAGCTGATCTGGTAAAACATCCTTTACAAGGATAACAACTTAGGTTCGTAAGGGTCCTGTCTACCAGCTGGTCTGGTAAAACATCCTTTACAAGGATAACAACTTAGGTTCGTAAGGATCCTGTCTACCAGCTGATCTGGTAAAACATCCTTTACAATGATAACAACTTAGGTTCGTAAGGATCCTGTCTACCAGCTGGTCTGGTAAAACATCCTTTACAATGATAACAACTTAGGTTCGTAAGGGTCCTGTCTACCAGCTGGTCTGGTAAAACATCTTGACAATGATTTTACAAGTGAAGTAACTGCTTGGTGATTATATCATAATAATCTTTTAATCATGTGATCTGTTTTATTTTCTAGAGATGATTTTGTGTTAGAGTATGTTGGAGAGGTGTTAGACTTTCGTGGATTTAAGAACAAATCGCGTCAATACGCCAAGGAGAACCAGACACATTTCTATTTTATGGCTCTGAACCCTGACGTAATGATTGACGCGACAGTGAAGGGAAATATTTCACGTTTTATAAATCATAGTTGTGATCCAAACTGTGAGACTCAAAAGGTACGTGTTGATATTTTACCTTTTAAAATGATAAACTTACTTTATTAAGTTTAAATTGTTACACGTGGCCAGTAAGAGAAAATATGTTTATCAATTTTTATACGCCGACATCCGTTCACAATTGGCTTGTGAACACAATAGAGGCTACAGTTTTTATCTGATTTGAATGAAATTTGGTGTGTTCATTTATATTCAGGAGATCTTGGACAAGTTTGATAATTTTTTCGATGAGTAGTTTTTGAATAGTTATTAATATATACTCTTATTGGTCAATGGGGAAATATTAATTATATTTTCATTCTAACTGGTAGAATACCTTGAACATTTTACTATAAACAAATATTTAGCCTGTCTTACTTTGTTCCTGTCTAGATTTATATGTTAGGCACAGTTTCAAGAACCTTATAGTGTAAAACAGAGGGGATATAAAACTTCAATTCATTAATCTTTGTTAGTTCTCTATTGTAGAGTTCTAAACAGGTTCTGTTGGTTCTAATTCTGACCTCAATCTACCAGTACTGAAGCGGAATTTATCGCATTTAAAATTCTCCCATCTATTTCCTTCTCCTCCAGTTCTCCTCTAGTTCTCCTGTATTTTAATTCTATCTGCACCTATTATTTTTTCTACAGAACAGGATATAAAACACTGTTTTATTTTTTCAGTGGACAGTCAATGGAGAATTAAGAATTGGATTTTTCACCAAGAGAACGATTCCACCTGGAGAAGAGTTGACGTTTAATTATCAATTTGAAACTTATGGGTATGTAGATTATATTTGAGATAGAGTGTCTACAACTAAGCTCCAATGTGTAACAAGTCTTACATTTAACAAGACAGTTGGCTAATTTGATGTTGAAGCATCTAGTCATTCAGAAGGTACAAAAAAAAACGTGACCCCTATATGCGCAGCAAACTTTAACAGTTGGTAATTCAAAACAAGAATAGGGTTATGCGACTGTCATGGTAAAATTTCTCTCATTGTACACTGCATTATGTTGCCTGTCTTCAAAGTAGGGAGTATAATTAATGTGAAATGAAGACAGTAGGTATTTTATTGATTGCTGACTATTTAATAATTACAGACGCCACCTAAAAATGCTTGAAATCAAAAGAAAATACTCTCATAAAACTATTCTAGCTAAATTTTTCTCATTGTACACTGCATGGCTTCATTAGTGGAATGATAGGGTGTAAAACTCCATTCATGTCATTTAATTTACCAAGAAATATGTCAAGAGAGTTATTGTTCTATGGAAGTGTAATTTATAATTTTTGTTTACAAGCTAGAACTAATTAATACTAGTATTATTATTTGTTTGTAGACAAAAGGCACAGAAATGTTTTTGTGGATCTGAGAATTGTCGTGGTACTATAGGTATTGAGAAACCAGCTAGGTTTAAATCTAACAAAAAGAAAGATAAAACTAAGAAGAAGGAAGAAATGATCGGAGTTGATGAAATTGAAGAACAGATAGAAAGAATGAATGTAGAAGGTCTAACTAATAAAAATCATGTATTAAATCTCTGTCGATTGATGGTGTACGTTCAACAAACAGATCATAGAATAGCCATTTTAAAAATATTACAGGTAGGAAAACAATCATTGTTTATTAATATTTTAAAACTATAATTGTATTATGTAGTTTATAAGTTATTATTAACAACTGATAACTGACAGACATCAGATTTTATTTTACCTAGAAGAGGATTCAAACCTACAGCACAATCCAGACTGAGCTATTAACTATTTTCTACTTGTTAAAGTTTCAAACTATTCCAAAGTTTACGATGTTTAACTGTAATATCTGTATATTTTTTACTTGGACAACTATTGTTTACTTTCTTGTTGAAATGATTATATCACCATTATAAAAGTTTAAAATTTGGCTTAGTTCATTAGTTAGTTTTAGTGGGTGAAAGCAGACTCCGGAAGCACTGGCTCAAGATTTAACGATGTTTAACCAGTTGCCAATCGAAACTCTGTACATTTTATACTTGGAATGGAATATTTTATATATAAAATGTCGCGAGGCTGTAATTGGTAACAGATTATTTATTCTATAATAAATTGTATATAATGTCTAACTATCATCTACTAGGGCTGAACTCAACTGTTTAATATTATTTTTAGAATACACCAGAACCAGCTTGTTTAAGACTTTTTGTAGAATATCATGGTTTACCTTTACTCTGGAGTTGGATGGCAGATTTAAACCAAGAACCAGCTTCTGAATTCCAGTTTCAGGTCAGTTGATATTTCACTTGTCTTTTTATTCTACCATAGCTTCTAGAACTAGAATTATATAGAATACGCTGATAGGGGAAGCCTGTTATTTTTATAGGTGGTTTTGATTCATATATATGTCTTTATTAGTTCACATGGAGTAGAAAAGTAGGACGTAAAACTCCAATCATTTTATCTTTGACTATATATAACTGTCTATAAATCTGTAGTATAAATTTACTGTTTATATTTACCAGTTATCATATATAAATATCATATTTTCACCTATAAAAAACATGATGATATTTTTCCAGGTTTTGTCTCTGTTATCAGAACTACCAATAACTAACAGAACAATATTACAAGACAGTAAAATATTATCTATTATTGAGAAGTGGACGGAAACATCAGAAGCTGAGAGTTATATTGAGAGTTATACTGAGTTACCTCCCCCACCCCCAGGCATGACACCTGTAGGAATATTATCATGTACAAAAGATACCAAGGAAGCTAAAGATAAACTACATAAAAAACGTGTCACGTTTGCTGAAGAGGAGCCGAGTTCAGACAGTGAAATGTCGGATATTAATTGTATAATGGCTGAGGCTAGTTCAACTATATCTATATCAGCTGAAGGTATAGAAGTATCTGGTACTGATAATACAATGGAAGTTACTGGTGTTAGTTCCGAGGGTAATAATTCAGGACAGGATGTAGAACAATCAGATGAAGTAGAGTCTAGTCAGGATACAGTAGGAGACGTACCCCAACATGAAGCTGATTCTAGTGGTGATACTAGAGAGAAGAAAGAGGGAGAATATTTAATTGAGGGTAGTGCTACAGAAGAAGAGAGTCAAGATGATGAGTCGAGTTCTGACAGTCAAGATAAACCAACGACCTCTATTAGTACCGTAGCTAGTAAATTGTTAGAACACTGGAGTAACTTAAAAGAAGTTTTTAAAATTCCACGGAAAGAACGAGTTGAAGAGAGAAAAAGAACAGAACAGGAATTGGGTACGTTTTTTGTACTGAGTCAAACATGTTTGCTATTCGCTATAACCGATTTGAATACTAACTTATAATTGATATACTTCCTCATATGAATAGTTAATAAGCTACTAATGTTTTGTTAAAATAACAGGTTTTGTTTTGCGGTTCGAATCGTTCAAGTTGATTTATGAATATTATTTTATGTTTTTTACAGACACAAGATATGAAGAAAACCAAGATTCACTTTATGGTAAATATATTTGTTTTATATATTATAGTCTAGACTGATATTGTACAAGTTTAATATCAAACATAAAACAAGAAAGTTCAAACAGTCCATTTTGATTGGAGGTAGATAAAGAAGCAAGTACTAATCCTACCTTAACAATAGAATGGATAGTTTGAAAACTGGCCAACTCTCGGAGGCACTGACACAGACATAAGAATTTTTCTTACATTGAAGAGGATTCGAACCCAGCGCACCTAATCGCCTAGCAGACAACAATCGCTAACGACTGAACAATTCCACTGTCTTAGCAGAGGACCATCCAACTTGCTACTAACTGAGTTATTCCACTGTCACTAGGGTTTCAGCAAACTGGGTCGGAAGGAAAACTTAATTTCTTTGGTTCTGTTTCAGCTGACTGGAATACGAAGCGTAGAAAGAAGGGAAAGAAACGAGGGGCTGAGGAAGAAGATCACTACAGACCACGGTAATTTCATTTCAATTATTCTGATTTATAGCAGGGGGTGAGGGTTGGGGAGGGGGGTTTCAGGATGCCTCGGGGAAAACTGAAATTAAAATATCAAACGGAAATCCTTTCATACACAAGGGAATATATATTATACTCTTATTGATAAAGTTTGAAAATTAGAATATATTATGTTAGTGTAAAGATTTAATATATAAAAAGGTTACTAGGTTACTAGGTTAATAGGTTATGAACAGAGACTTATTGTAACCAAGTTTGAAAATTAGAATTTTTGACCATCCTAAGATTTAATATATTCTATGTATATTTTCAGAAGAACGTTATTACCAACGCCACCTAAGATGAGTAAAGAAGAGAGAAGACAGTTATTTGAGGCTCAGGTCAAGGCCAAGGATGAGATGAATGCTGAGTTTCAGCGCCAACAGATTGAAACATTGAAAGCCACGTATCCGTTAGTCCCAGTAGAATATTTTAATGATCCTGGTTTTATAACAGCTGTCTCTAGTAATCCTGTTTTCGCTTTACAACTTCAGGATCCTAATTTTATCTTAAAATTACAAGATCCCAATTTTATGATGCAGTTTCAGGAATTCAAGAATCCAGATCAAGATCTGAACGATCCAACAGATCAAGACATGGTCATGATGGATCCCAATATACTTCTACAAATGCAGCAAGATCCTAATATAGTTTTACAGTTGATGCAGCAAGATCCTAACTTAATGTTACATTTACAGCAAGATCCTACGTTAGTTCTACAGGTTCAACAGAATCCAGCCTTACTATTACAATTACAACAACAAACAGCAGGCATGACTTTACAGATGACACACGACCCCAACATGGTGATTCCTGGTCTGTCAACTCTACCAACTCAAGGTAAGCCATTACACCATTAAACTGTCCTGCTGGGAAGAAAATCTCAATGATTGTGATAGGGTGAGATTGTCATCTACTCTCTACTTTATATGTGTCACTTGGTTTGTGGGAGCGTCTGCAACAATTTGACTATATCAGAAGTATGTTGTATTGTTAACATCCCAGATGACGTATATCCTAGAGTGAAGACAACATCCTCTCCCTAATCTCAAATATTCTAAACATGTTTCTTAAAATCTTCAATGAATATTAATTGTAAGTGAAGAATTTTAATTGAGAGAATTCTAGATTTACGATAAAATTTATTGAGAGATTGAAAGAGAAACTGATTCTTCATGACTTTCAAATAAACGTGTTAAAATATGATTGATGAATATTATCATGGCAATAATACCAATCACTTCTTATTATTCTGATCTTTATTTTATATTACTATTTCTGACAGAGACTTGACAATATAAATATAATACACAATGACAGCGCACCATGTTTGTACACAATTCAATTATAATTCAGATCTAAATCTAAGAAATATCTTGTAGATCTGAAGTTTATGATAATGATTGTATTAAACAGACTTGAGATTCTTATCTTATGACTATTCTATATACTCTTTGATTCTTTTACAGCTTTATATTCCCTACCCCTCCCCCTGCCCTATTTTCTGTCCACTGACCCCACCCCCCAATAAATTGATCACTATTTCTTAACTTATCAAAGCAGATATTTTAACAGTTTTTATTGATTCTATTTTTATTAAAAGTTTATATTTTGCTAGTTTTTTTTTTAATTTCAAGTGCTATTTTCCCTTGGTATTCTATCTGTGTGTAATTTTGATATTTTGTAATTTATTGTATGGAGTTGGGTTGTGATTTTTATTAAAGAGACAGTACCATGTTTCAGGAATTGTTTGTATTGTTATAAAATCTTGGAAACTAAAGTTGAGTTGAGTTGAGTTTGAGTTAAAAGTTTAGAAATGTTCGGTTTAACTTGGACTATTAAAGAGTTTACAAGAAAACCTCAGGTTTGTACTGATGTTATTACAACATCTCATCATGTTTAATCTGGTGTTGGAAATCTTCCTTGTATAACAGCACTTAGAGATGATATCAGATAACAACACAATATTATGGGTGTCTAGACAATATAGATCATGTATTAAATAATGGAACCTAATTATATGATCTAGTCTGAAAACTATGCACATTCTTCGATTATTCAAAACATGAGGCATATTCCAAAGCAATCTTTTTTGATTTTCTGGTAGAATAATAAGTTATAGAAATTATACAAGCTGATCTTATACTACGTTGATTATTAATTAAACTACCTTCAAATAAAATAGACTGCTTGTTTTGAATCAATCATTGATGTTTGCAAAAATTTTCCTTCAATTTATACCACTTGGTTTTATAAAAACAAAGTTTCAACAATTTACACATCACATCAAGTGAATGAGAATGTAAATTGTTGAAGAGTTTTGTTTGAATAAAACACAGGAGAAGTAGAAGTTTACTGTAAAATTGTGTTGATATATCTGATGTTGACTGTAAAACAGGATTTCATAGTGGAGCTATCTCCACAATCTGAGAGCAAAAACAACAGAGACGTGACATCAAAGATTGTCACTACACTTTCCATGCAATCTGTGCATCTTTTAGGGATTTGTCTCCCTTTGTAATATTTTGGTAAGTATTTACTGTTGAAATATTGAAATGAATATTTAAACCCACGTTTTCAGGCTAGCTAAGTTTTATCAAGATAATGTTATGATAAGATAGATAATGTTATTAGATTAAGTTCAATGATAAAATATTGGAATAATCAACTCTAAGGTTTGTAATGTAATGATTTACATCTTTGGCTTTTAGTCTTTGACTGAAAGATTCCTGACAATTACCATGTTCTGTATTGTATGGTACTTGTCACAGGGTCCTCACGCAACCTGTTCTCAGCCTTGATAATATCTGAATAGAGATACAAGATTCCCTGGCAATGATTGGAGCTTTTGATAAAATCTAAGATATACTGAAGCCCCCAGCAACATGTGTCCTATTCTGTTAAACTAGGGATATCGTGGAAAGAGCTTGACTTGAATGAAGCCATACAGAGCCTTGTGTGATACAGACTGTGCACGTGAAAGACCAATTTAACAGTAAGGAAACACTTACGCAAATTTTAATGTAGCTGTCCTGGTAAATTTCCCTCATTGCACACAGACTGGTAATATTCCAATCTGGAGAAGACAAATTGGACATTAAACTCCATTATATTTCAGTTTCCATTTTAAATCAAGATTCAACAACTGAGCAATGTGTTATCCCTGTTTCCTTAACTATACAACTTTCATTCTATTGGTTTTAATATAAAACTTTTATATTTGATTAATCACTTCAGTTAGGGTCTAAAGACAGCCTTCTTGAATAGTTGTCAGTTTGATGACACCTCCAGCCTATCAAATTTCTGCCCTCTCTAACACGGGGATTTTGTGGCACGAACAAAAGGTGCATTCAGTGTATAATGCTTCTCAGAATAATATTTTATAAAATCCCAGTGTTGGAGAGGGCAGAAATATTTGATTGGCTGGAGGAGTCATCAAACTGACGACTGTTCAAGAAGGCCGTCTTTAGACCCTAACTGAAGTGGCTAAATTAAGAATAAAAGTTAATAAAAGACAGAAGAACTGTAAACCTAGTAAATGTAAATACCTTGTGGACTCTGTGTTGATTCGTTCAGTCAAATAGTTTATAAATCCCAAATAAAATACGTATATTGTCATAAACTATATCTGTCTGTCCATTCACCTGTTTTAAATACACAATAGAGATTGAAGTTTTTATCTGATTTTATTGAAAAAACATTTCATCAAGTAGGCTTAATTGAGATATTGCAGACAGGATTTATAATATCAAACCAGTTTGATATTTGTCTCTGATTGTTGTTACTGTCATCATCCAATAAAACTTGTTGTTTTAATATTTCTAGTATATTTTATCTAGTTTCAATGGATCGATGAATTTTTTTTAGAAATTATCAGCTGGTTTGAATTGTGTTTTGTATTTTGATGACAAGGGCAATAACTCTGTTATAAAGTTCAACAGGGATGTAATTCAAAAGTTAGATAACATGAAATCAGTTTAAATCAAAATGAGCTACATTTTCATTATTTGAACATCAAGGGCTATAACTCTGTTTTCAATTTTGGAGTTGTCATCAAACTACCATATTTATATCAACTCTGCTAAATTTATTCCAAGTTTTAAGAAATCAAATGTGTCTTTATTTGTATAATAATAATAATAATAATGTTTTATATTGCGAGATAGTTTTCAGTTTCTATTTCACTGTTGATCAAAATATTTCTGTAAAAAGAAGATTTTATACAATATTAAACAAGAAAGTTTTTAGGTTTTTTAGGCAGTATGCATAATTTTTATTATGAAAAACGTAAATTATACCTGAAAATATAAAATAATTGATATACTTCCTCATGTTAAACGTTCATTAGCTGCTACCAATATTTCGTCAATATGTTGTTTTGGATTTTAGATTTCCTTTTGCAGTTTGGATCGTTAGTACTTGGTTTATTTATTTTAAGCTGAAAAATTCACTTCAGAATGTAGAGATAGAGTGGGGTCATTCCATGTCAAATCACCCCCCAAAAAAATTGAAATTTTAATCTGACCATCACTGATTTTGATGAAACTTAGCATAAATGTGTGTAATAACAAGAATTCTATGAAATTGGGTCAGGAAGTTATGGCATTATGCCAGTGATTGAAGTTAAATTATTTCAAAACCATATGTTTTCCATCTCTGGATTTTTTACATGTTGTAGGGAGGAGATTTAGTCTTGATTTCGATAGTATGGCAGGTCAAGGTCAGGTGTCCCACAGGTTAAACATCAAGGTCAAAGGTCACCGAAAGAATAATGGTTTCCTGAATTCAGATAGGCTAGGTCTTATGTCAGAAATGGAATCTATGGCATTATTCTTTTCTAACAACACCAATAACAAGTGTATAGGACCAGGGACAACTAAGTTATGTCCATTTGAAGTTTGGGGGGTAAGGGAAATTTGAGCCAAAAGTCAAAAGTTATATAAGTCATATGTCTGTAATCTCTGACCCAATTTGTATGAAATTTGGAATTTGTGGTTTTCTCATCATAACCAACATTTCTGTTAAGTTTCATTAAAATCAGAGATAATCTGGTGAACAGACATGGAATGACTCAGTAGAATCAGTTAATGGAAGAGAGGTATTAATAGAAGAAGACTGTGGTTGATTGTTACATCCAGATACTCCAGGTCTTGACTATTACAAATAGACTATGATGATCAGAGCACAGTAGTGCTTTGGGCATTCTTCTAAAAAATAGTCTTATTATTATATGATAGGTGTGACTAACATGGAGACATACTTTCTCCAGTTCTACAGTCACAAACTGTCTCTGACTGGCGTTTTAAATATCATTTATTGTACTTTGTTTGTTTTGGTATCAAGTCAAGGTGCTGTGTTATGTTTAGATTATTTTCATAGTATCTCTGTTGTTAACCACTCCTGTTCTGGAATTTTCAACTGTAAGAGTTGTCTCATCTAGAAAATGTCTAGTTTTCTTATGGAGCTATCATAAGTTTTTTTTTTGGCCCCCTGTAGCTATGGTCCAGGGCTTATCATGTTATAGAGTCTGAGATGTTGAAGAGAAGCATAGTCCAGGGTTTACCATGTTATAGAGTCAGAGATGTTGAAGAGTAGTGTAGATAAATTAACAGATTAACTTCTCGACCTTACAGACCTGATGTTATCTCATACAGGCTAGAGATCTTTATCTGTAGTAATATTTATATCTTTCAACAGTTTAGAATGTATTGGGTTTGAAATTTTGAAGAGAAATGTAGTTGAATAAAGAGATTTATTTTCTCAACTGTTCAGACCAGGTTTAATATTATCAGTAGAAATAGGAGTAATATTTATATTAGTGTTATTATAAAATGTTTGTGTTCTGTAGAAATTGTATTATATAGTAAAAGATATCAAATAGTGATCAATTTATTAATCTTCATAAACTGAAGAGTTCTAGCCCTTGTTTTATTAAACTTATATTTATACAGTGTTATTTTTAACATGTCCCCTCTGTTTTTACTTCCAACCCTCTCCACAATTCTCTTCTCTAGCTTTCACACTCCAAAATATAATAAATAACAAAATAAATAATGACATTAACTATGTGGACTCTCTAGAAAGGGATGTCAACTTGACAAATACAAAATAAACATTAACTATGTTTACTCTCTGACAAACCTAATTGACAGACGTAAGTACCATGTGGACTCTCTGTATATTGTTAACTATATAGACTCTCTGTATATTATTAGCTATGTGGACTCTCTGTATATTATTAGCTATATGGACTCTCTGTATATTATTAGCTATATAGACTCTCTGTGTATTATTAACTATATAGACTCTCTGTATATTATTAACTATATAGACTCTCTGTATATTATTAACTATATAGACTCTCTGTATATTATTAACTATATAGACTCTCTGTATATTATTAACTATATAGACTCTCTGTATATTATTAACTATATAGACTCTCTGTATATTATTAACTATATAGACTCTCTGTATATTATTAACTATATAGACTCTCTGTATATTATTAACTATATAGACTCTCTGTATATTATTAACTATATAGACTCTCTGTATATTATTAACTATATAGACTCTCTGTATATTATTAGCTATATAGACTCTCTGTATATTATTAGCTATATAGACTCTCTGTATATTATTAGCTATATAGACTCTCTGTATATTATTAGCTATATAGACTCTCTGTATATTATTAGCTATATAGACTCTCTGTATATTATTAACTATATAGACTCTCTGTATATTATTAACTATATAGACTCTCTGTATTATATATAGATGTATATCAGGTAAGAGAGTAAGTATATTACTATGTGTTATATTTTGTAGTTGTGGATGTCAATGGACAGTTGATACCGACAGGAATGCCACCCCAGCCTGAAGTTTCTGAACAACAACAGATCATGGTAGATAGTAACGGGCAACAGATAGTCTTTACTCAGCCTTACCAGGTATAGTATATCATAGTGTATCACTGGGCCCCTGATACCACTCTCCCCTCTCTCTACTCAGCCTTACCAGGTATATCAGATATATAACACCAGACTCTGCCCCTAATAACACTCCCCTCTCCCTCCCCCACTTTTACCTGATAAAAAGAATAGTTTTTTTCTATTTGAGATGAACAATTAAAAGGGACAACAAAATGGGAAATAAAACTCAATTTTGATTTTAAAAGGATGAGAAACAGGATGTAAAACTCTATTTCATAAAAATACATTGTAGGATTCAATTTCCCCTTGTATCTGTAGAATTTTACTTTATTTGAATATTTTTGTTGTTTTTTTAGGCCCCAATACAACAAATTCAACAACCACAGCAATTTTTCCCAGTCCAACAACAACAGCAACAGCAGGCAGCCAGTACAGTTGTACAACAAGCACCACCACCAGTTCAAACAATACCACAATCTCTACAACTGACAGATGCCAATCTTGTACAACAGGTAAAGAACTCAACTATAGTATTTATTCTGATTTGTAATTGATCAGGCAATGAAAGAATCATCCAGTTTATCTTCCATCTTTCTGACAAGCACTTAAAAATGACCATAGGTGATTGCTTGAAATATTATTTATATTAAAATAATAATGTTATTGTTGACACCATCCATATTTTATAAAGACATCTTTAAGATTGTATTAGATTGTTTCGAGAATACTAGACCCGGTTTCTCAAGAACTGAAGTTGCCTTTAGCGCTAGGATGTCTTAGGTTCTTATCTTCTAACATTATTTCTAGGACATCCTAAGTTCTTATCTTCTAACATTGATTCTAGGATATCCTAGGTTCTTATCTTCTAACATTGATTCTAGGATATCCTAGGTTCTTATCTTCTAACATTGATTCTAGGATATCCTAGGTTCTTATCTTCTAACATTGATTCTAGGACATCCTAGCGCTAAGATCGTTTCGAGAATACGTGGCCTGATGACTGATCTTGACATTAAACTATCTAATTATCTATACCTTTGTTACTGTGTTTGACTGGAGTAATATATCATTTCTGAAAACAAGTAGATATTTGAGTTATTACTGATTGCTTTTAATATTTGATATTGTAGCAACTACAACAGCTAATCACCCTCCACCAGAATCTAGCTGCCTCCACTCCATCTACCAGTCTAACCCTAGAGGATGATATACCCCCTCCCCCCTCACCCCCTAAAGCTAAACAACCTAAACTACCCCCGAACTGGAAAACAGCGAAAGATGCCGAGGGAAAAACTTATTTTTATCACAGTATTACTCGGTAAGATGTATTAACAATAAAAACATATAGTCAGAGAATCAGTGAAATAAGACGCTTGCTCGCTAGTCTGAATGATCCAGGCATAGGTCGAGATGATATCTTAGAATTTTTCAACTTGAAGCCGAGGCCTTGTGTGTCTAAAAGATATCTCTACAGTTAAAAATTAAAAAATGAAGGAGTAAAGGTTTATACCGCTTTACTAGCAAATATAAATCAGATCTCTTTACTTTATGGAAGAGGAAACTCATTTTACGGGTAAATAATATATGTTTTATTTATTTATATTACAGAATAACACAGTGGGATCCACCAACATGGGATCAGGCAGATATTGTAGCTGACATGGATCTTGGTACCCCGACATTTGACGAGTTCGGTAAAAAGGTGAGATGTTATTTCATTTTAATACAACCTTACTTTACAATTATCTAAATATTTATTATATCAACAGAGATCACTTATAACAAATAACACAAGAGAATATATTATGGTATAACACAATTCTTTATATATATATTCTATAAATTCTCATGTTTACATCTGATGACTTCACGTGTAAATTATGTTAAAACATTATGTACTATAATATATTCTCTTGTGTTTTTTTAATTTACCAACTGACATTTCAACTGTTTGTATCTCGTCACAGATTAGAATCTGAAATTTGGTTCTTTCTTCAATAACTGTCAACACCTGGGTCGACTGGAATAATGAGGAAAGATGACTTATTCAGCACCCATTTACACCTGGGTCGACTGGAATAATGAGGAAAGATGACTTATTCTGTACCCATTTACAACTGGGTCGACTGGAATAATGAGGAAAGATGACTTATTCAGCACCCATTTACAGCTGGGTCAACTGGAATAATGAGGAAAGATGACTTATTCTGTACCCATTTACAACTGGGTCGACTGGAATAATGAGGAAAGATGACTTATTCTGTACCCATTTACAACTGGGTCGACTGGAATAATGAGGAAAGATGACTTATTCTGTACCCATTTACAGCTGGGTCGACTGGAATAATGAGGAAAGATGACTTATTCTGTACCCATTTACAGCTGGGTCGACTGGAATAATGAGGAAAAATGACTTATTCTGTACCCATTTACAGCTGGGTCGACTGGAATAATGAGGAAATATTTGATTCTATTTACAGAAAAAGAAGACGAAGACAGCTGAAGCTGATACATCAAGTGAAGTAGAGAAGAAATTAAAAGATATATTTAGGAAAGGAGTAAGTCATGTTCTATTTCTTTCTTAGTGAAAATTAATTTTATTATTGTCTACAGAATTGACACTATATAGTTTCTATTACTATTTATTCTCCACAAAAATAAAATGGACTGCTTGTGTTTAGGTTTTGAATCGATGGGGCCTTTTTCTTAAAAACTGAACTTTTATTTGATTTAAGTACTAGAGAATAAGGTCTCTGGATGCAGATGAATATTTTTGTTCATGTATACCACATACCCAGTACAATTACAAATATATAATACAGAAAAGTCTGAAATCGACTGGGATTTTATTATTTTTTCACCCATCTTAATTTGATGTTTATAATTCTGACTGTATTTCCAGATGTCCACGTATATTGTATCATGTTTGAATCCGTATAGAAAAAACGACTGTAAACTGGGTAAAATAACATGTACAGATGATTTTAAACATCTAGCCAGAAAGGTGAGTTGCTGTCTTTTTTAAACTCGTTAGATACTGTTTTCTTTAATACGTAAACTGGTTTCTATCATAGTTAGATCGGTTCTTTTATAAGATTGGCTACAAATTAGAAGTCCTTATTACTGATCTCTCTATTGGTTGATTGAAAGTAATTGATTGAAAATGCTGATGCTGTCATTGTAGAATTTATTTTGTTATTCCAATAATATACTACTGTACTGTACCCTTATTCTTAAAAACATAACAAGATATTAGTGTTCAAGTCTTCTGATTGGTCAATCACTAATATTGATTTGAAATTTATGTTTATTATTAATTCTGAACAGTAAGATATAAACTGACTATGTTTTTAATGTTATATTTCAGTTAACACATCACGTCATGGCGAAAGAATTAAAACATTGTCGTCATGTAGAAGATTTAGAAGTCAACGAAAACGTGAAATCGAAAGCTAAAGACTACGTCAGAAAATATATGTCTAAATCAGGAGCCGTGTATAAAAAACCTTTAGATGATGATATTTATTAGTTTGTTACCCTTCGTTAGAGTCTGATTAATTAGGATACCTTCGTTAGGGTCTGATTAATTAGGATAACTTCGTTAGCCTCTGATTAATTAGAATACCTTCGTTAGGGTCTGATTAATTAGAATACCTTCGTTAGGGTCTGATTAATTAGGATACCTTTGTTAGGGTCTGATTAATTAGGATACCTTCGTTAGAGTCTGATTAATTAGGATACCTTCGTTAGGGTCTGATTAATTAGAATACCTTCGTTAGGGTCTGATTAATTAGGATACCTTCGTTAGGGTCTGATTAATTAGGATACCTTCGTTAGGGTCTGATTAATTAGGATACCTTCATTAGGTTCTGATTAATTAGGATACCTTCGTTAGGGTCTGATTAATTAGGATACCTTCGTTAGGGTCTGATTAATTAGGATACCTTCGTTAGGGTCTGATTAATTAGGATACCTTCGTTAGGTTCTGATTAATTAGAATACCTTCGTTAGCCTCTGATTAATTAGGATACCTTCGTTAAGTACAATAGCTTGAAGTGATGTGAACAGTTTTAATAGTTGTTTGCGTTGTTTTGGTATTATTTGATAATGGTGGATAGATAATATAGGAATGGAAAGAAGATGTTATCAGAGACACAAATGTGCTTAAAGAGTTCAATTTTATCAAGTGTTTTGAACATGATATCCAACATCAGGACAAATAAAGACTGAGAGATGATAGAAACAGTTTGAGATGAGTGTTTGAGATAGATATTGAAATATGAATTGAAATGATGTATGATCTATCAAATGAAAATAAGAATTTTTATATTTTCTCAATGATAACTGATTTATAACATACGTCTAAATATAATACAGATCTAGTTGTTTTATTTCTATGTTTTTTATGTTTATTATTTCACCTGCAGTGTTTTTAGATCATAGATCACAATTAATTAAAATTAGACCCAACTTTTATTAGCTATTATTTTTAATATATCACTTCAGTTTTAACGACAGTCCTCTCGAACATTTGTCCAGTTAACCTTTTGACCTAACTCAACCAATCAAATTTCTACCTTCTCCAGCGCTGGCATTTTGTGATGTGGTGTTTATCAGGTTAGGTCTAAAGTTTAAATTGATGGACGAATAAGAGGGCTGTCGTTAGACTCGAACTGAAGTGACCATGTAAAGATAATAGCTAATAAATAAACAAAGGAAAGTTTGGTCTCTAATTTAAATTAGACTGGTAAACATCATAAAAAACAGGAAACAAAATAAGTTGATGTGTATTAAAACTTGTTAGATATTGTAGAGATTAGGGTGATTAAAAAGTAACAAGTAGATATTGTAGATTAATGTTAAATATAAGGAATATATAATGTATATAGAAGAGTTCAGAAATATTTCTGTAAATAATGAAATCATAACCTAAATAGTGCTTCATTTCTTTTCTTCTTTTTAGTTTTTTTACATTCTTCTAAACTAATTCTGTTTTTACCTTCAAACCATCCATTCATAAAATATAATACAAGTGCTTTAATCAAGAATCCTGTTCTTACTGTAAAATTGTTCAGTCTTAGTTTCTGATATAACTAGGGATCAGATTGAGAATAGCAAGGAATTTACAATAAGATTGCTGGAAAAAAATAACACCTTGTACAAGGCTGAAAATAATTTGACTAAAACAACAAAAATTTGGGAAAATGAAGAAAATCAGTATATTACCTATGCCAAATTATAAGTTAGTCAAAATATGAAATGAAAATATTCAAAGGAAAGCTGAAATTATAAAAATAGACTAATGATGTAGCAATGCATGTTTTAAATTGAATTCAAATGGAACAAATTTTTATTAAAATAACCTTTAGATACAAAATATCTGATTTTATTTAAAATTGGCATTGTCACCTCATTTACATGATCTGTTGTGTATGAATTTTATAAGAAATATATCTTGTGGTCAGGATTATATCAACATCAAAATCTTTGCTTTATTCTTGATCTTTATATTCCAGTTATCTGATTGGTCAGTCATTGAAATTAAATCTAGTTTGTTAACCAATCAGATTACTGTATTTCATAAAATCTGGATTTTATCTTAGTCAAGTTTGTGAGAATCAGCTGTAAGGATTATATGTAAGGTTTTTAAATATGTATTTTGTACGTAGCTTCTTAGTTCTGTCTCTAGTTTTTCAAAGTCTTTTATTTTTGTTATAAATCAATGTTTCAAATCATCCATATTTCATCTTCTTTTTTTGTTTTCTAAATTTTTTAATCATGTTATAAAATTATTGTTTAAATGAAAATTAGAAATTAAGAGTAAGGTTTGAATTTATACAACATATTAATAATGTTTGAAGAGTCTTATTCTAAATAAAACAATATTTTATTCCAAGGTTTGGTTTTTATTTTGATGTAAGAATTCGACAGAGACCACAGTAATAATCCATGTGCATTATCATGAAACGTCTGTAATCTGTAGCTAGTTTGGTTTTTATTTGGATGAGAGTGTTTTAAAGACCAGTAATCCTAAATTCTGGAAGTCTTATTCTGTAGCAGTTAAATAGCTCAGTTGGTGGGATGGTTTCGTCTGATAGAAAATAAGTTGCCATGAGTTCCAACCCTTTTAAAGGCAAATCAAATTCTTATACTATAGCCAGTCATTTTGAAAGTCAGCCCAGTGTTCACTTTCAAACACTAGACTCTATCATCTAAATAAATAAATACAAATCATAAACCAGATCAGGAGCCTGGAGCAATAATCAGACATGAAACATGACTGGCAAGTAGAAACATCAACCCTTGTCAGATTAACAACTTTAATATTTTAATAGAAATTATCTGTTACGTATCAAGAATGATGTATGACGTGTAATACCCAATCATCTTCCAGTTCCCAATTCATCTTTTCGAGTCTGTCTTTGTTAATCCATTCAAAATATTTTTCACATCCGAATCCAACACATTGAATTTTCTCTGAACTATCTGATGGTCTTTCATGACAATTTCAAATGGATCTAAAACTAAGGAACTGGTTGGCACTTTATACACCAGTGTAACATCTACTAGTTTGGGTCGGGTTAAGTTTGGAGAAGTAATATTTTTCTGCTGTTGAGCCGTCAAGTTATTCTTGCCTGGAGTCTCGTCGCTAACGGTATTAGTGTCCTTCACATCTCTCTTGATAGCTACATAAAGTTCAGGTTTGGTGTGTGATGAACTTGCTGTTTGATCTGGTTCAATTCTGTTCTGCTGAGAACTGTAAATACATCCCATTCCTAGTGATAGAAAATAAACTTTAAAATTATAAAGAATTGAAAGCTTCCACTTCAAGGCTTAGTCTTGAAACTGGCTATTCATTACCAGCCTCTTGACTATTACAACATAGCTGATACTGTTAGACCATGCATAGAATAAATAATAGGCTTTCTTTAGCTTCAGTCTCAGTTATTTAGAGACAGTCTGGCAAAGTAGCTAAAGGCCTATGACAATCAGAAGCATTGTACAGTAGTCCGAGTAAACTGATGAGTCCTTAAACCATTCAGCTCTATCATTTGAACGTAAAATAGGTAATGGACAGTTCTAACCATCTGAAAGTTGGTAACGAGATTTCCTCTGCAGAAAAATTCGTCTGCTTTGTTTACACCGGAAGTGATCTCTTTTATTGAAAACCATAAACAACACAAACTTCCGGCTAAATTGCAAGATAGTGGCAAATTCAATTTTATTTCTGTAACATTTTTATTTTATGCAATTTTAAGGACACTGTTGAAAGATTCCCGAGAAAATGACCCTAAAAAATGTCGCTGTACATCAAGCCACCCTCGGGCACAATTTCTCTAAAGACATTGGAATCATTTGCAATCATTCGAATGAATTTCCTCATGAAAATAGTCGAGGCGAAAACAACCGATTCAGCCATTATTCAATCTGTCATCGATGAAAGTGTTTGTCAATCTCAATGTCTGATTAGCGGAACACAGAAAGACAATATATCTCATTTTACTTTGAGGTATTTATAACATCTTTACTTTTAGATGTCATAGCTCCCCGAAAGAGAAAATGTAATGTATTGATAAATCCAGTGACACTGTTGGCATCAAAAGTTCTGGTGATCGGAAAAATTTGCTCCTGAAAGCACCAAATCTCCTTAAAACAGAGCCAAGTTTTTCTAGCTAGTTAGACACAATAGTTTGGTGTGCCTATAAAAGTAGTCAGGTCCTACATTTTTTCAATCCAGGGTCGAGTTTCACCGCCATGTCATTCGACCTAACCAGGTCTAACGAGGAATCAACAACCAAACCAACAACACAGAATCACCCAATTTGAACCAATTCAACTACTATGACTACCAACAACTACCTAGTTTGCGATATCAGCATCTGCTGGAAGCAAACGTTAACTTGTCATCTACCTATCTACCTACATTTTTTCAGTTATAATCTCTTTATTTCAGACTAATATTGTCTAAAAACGAAGAAACATCAAAATTTTTACTGGAGGCAGAGAAAATCTTGTTTAACTTTCATTGTTGGTGTATGACTGAAGATGAACTTTACAGATTATTGAAAACTTTCAATAAACTAACTCTCAAACCAAGCTCTCAAAATTTAGACAGTTTATCAGTGGCTTTAAAATCACTTTTAGATCTGAAGAAACAATGTGAGAACTCTTGGAGGATTCTAGCGTTTAGATATTTCAATCCAGATGATAGTTTATTCCAAGTTCCATTTCAAACAGTTTTACCGTTAGTTTATAATCGTTCAATCATTCTAAAAAATGGAATTGCTTTCATTCCGTATTCACAGCTTCCAGTGTTTCTAACGGAAATATTTACATTGTTTCTGGACTGGGGTATAAAACAGGCTAGAACTCAGGATAATTCTGATGATAGATTGAATTATATTTCTCAAATATTACTGGTAAGAATCTTTAGATATTGTTTAACCTTTTAAAACTCAAGTATTGGAAAGTTACATGTCATAATCTGAACTGCAAGTTATTGAATCTGAAGTTGATGATGTTAATATTATGTAGAAACTCAAAGTTAAGAAAGTAGAATCACTTAAAATTCTGCTCACGTATTCACCAATATTTTGAATATTGAATCTAAATATTAATGCTGCAAGCTGTGAAATTTCATCTTTAATTATTTATTTATTGATAGAGAAGGTGTGTAAGATTTTTAAAGAGAAATAGCAGGAATAGAAGACAATATACACCAGTCATACATCTAGATAAACACTCTATAGATAATCAGAGTACAATATTTCCACCTTGTATGTTTAATCTTCATCAAACATTACGAGATAGACATCGACTAAATCATCATGCCAGGGTACGTCTGTCTTTTAATCTGGAAAACTTGTTTCAGGTTCTTTTAATATTTTAATATAATGTTTTAATATTGTTATATCTCTTGTTGTTTAATATACATGTTTCAGGTTCTGTTTTAATATTGTTATATCTCTTGTTGTTTAATATACATGTTTCAGGTTCTGTTTTAATATTGTTATATCTCTTGTTGTTTAATATACATGTTTCAGGTTCTGTTTTAATATTGTTATATCTCTTGTTGTTTAATATACATGTTTCAGGTTCTGTTATAATTATTTGTATTATTTTTAATACTCTAGATACAGTACACATTGTTTCTGAAAGAGATGGGAATGGAGGG